AGCTGCTCCTCTTTCGCAGGTGCCGGGAGGGAGGAGAATCAGGCCCCGCCCTTGCAGCTGCTCCTCTTTCGCAGGTGCCGGGAGGGAGGAGAATCGGAGACTTGTCAGCAGCCCGCTGTGATCAAATGCCCGAGGAGAGGCAGGGACCCACCCAGCAGACACCCGCGTAACCTTAACAGCTACCCAGAGTACAAGGAGGGGGTACATGCCAGAGCATAGGGGTGCAGATCTAGAACTTTTCCAGAAACCTCAGATGATCAGGTCACACTCACTATTTGTCTTTACCCTCCGTTCCTGAAAGGGCGGTAAGATGGACCAGTCACAAATATGGGAGAGAGAGATGAATTTGACCACTGGAAAAGTTTAGTGCCTTCTGGGGACCGGTGAGGGTGACTAGCATTGTTTCCTAGGGCGTGGCTGATGTGACAGGTCTGCCGTGAGTGCAGGTGGCTGGTTTCCTGTAAGAACCACACAGAGGCCAGGTACAGTGGGTCTGCACCTGCAGGTTTGTGTGTGTGAATGCGAAACGGCACTGCATTCACTTTTTTTGTCTACCTCATCCCTTTTGCCTTGTATCCAATTCATATGTGTCACTCTCCCATCCTGTGTGGTTGCTTATTTTTGAGCTACGTGGATAGCTGAACGTTTATCCCAGTTTCAGTGTCCATCTCTGTATTTTCAACTCATCTTTCCAGCCTGTCTGCTCATCTTTCTGAATCCAGATTCTGGGAGAACCTGGACTCGGTGGCAGAGTGGGCCAGATATGGTGCCGGTAGCTTGGGGGATTGGACCCTATGGGGAAAAGAGTCTAGCAGAAGATATTAGGTAAGCTGGGTGACACACTGGCTGAGGGATCTGGCAGGGGACTACGGGCATGTTGGCCCTGCGGGTGACCTCTTTTTTTTTTTTAATTAATTTTATTATTTTTTTTTTTTGTGAGGAGGATCAGCCCTGAGCTAACGTCCATGCCAATCCACCTCTTTTTGCTGAGGAAGATTGGCCCTGAGCTAACGTCTGTGCCCATCTTCCTCCACTTTTTGTGGGACGCCGCCACAGCATGGCCTGACAAGTGGTGCGTCGGCGTGCGCCCGGGATCCGAACCTGGGCCACCACCAGCAGAGCGCACACACTTAACCGCTACGCCACGGGGCCGCCCCCGATGATTAATGTTTGCATGACTGGTGTTTCCCATCCTTGGGGAGGGGAGGAAGCAGAATGCCAACTGGCCCCGACTCCTGCCACCTCAGTCCATCCCAGTGGTACCAGGCGGGAGTGGGGGCAGCTCCCTCTGGTCCTTGCTGTCTGCAGGGGAGGGAAGTCAGAGTGTGACTGCCCTACGTTGTACTGTCGCCTTCTGCCTGTTGGTGCCAGGTGTGGTCAAGGCTCAGTTCCCCACTAGACCACACTGAGACCACCCTGGAGGGGGAGTCGGAGCACCCACCACCTGCATCCATGGGCAGGGTGGGAGGTCAGCTCCCTGCTCAGCCCCGCAGACACTGCCCGTTGGGGTGGAGCACTGCCTGTGTCTGCCAGGGAGGGATGAGAGATCAGCTCCTAGCTCAGCTCTGCCAACAGACATGGTGCCTGGTGAGGGGACAGGAGAGTGCCACCTGCCTTTGCGGGGCAGGGGGTAGGATGGAAGATCAGCTCTCTGCTTGGCCCTGCTGAAATTGTAGGGGTGGGTGTGGGTTTTCCACTGGTGTTTGGCTTAAGTAGAGTGGGTATTGCCAAAAAGATTTTTCTGCTCTTAGGTTACTGCAGAGTTAGGAACAGTTTCCAAGACTCCTTTATGACACCAGTAGAAAGTGTGGGACGGGTCCCCAAGACCACCCTCAGGTTAGAGAATTAAGTAAAAGAACTCACAGAACCCACTGAAAGATGTTGTACTCACAGTTATGGTTTATTACAGCAAAGGAGTCAGATTCAAGTCAGCCAAGTGAAGAGACGCAGGGGGCAGAGTCCAGGAGGGTCCCCACGCGGAGCTTGCAGTTGTCACCTCCCAGCAGAGGCCTGGACAGTGCTGACTTCCCGGCATCGATGTGTGATGACACGCACAGAGTATTGCCTGCCAGGGAAGCCCCCTGAGCCTTGGTGTCCGGAGTCTTTACTGGGGCTTTGTCATGTAGACGTGTTGACTCCCAACGTGGCTGACCTCAGTCTCCAGCCCCTGGAGGTCAGAGGTTGAGCTAATACCAAGTGGCCCACAGCCCTCACCTGAAATCACATTCTTAGGCTATCTAGTGTGGCCCAAGGCCCCCAGGTAAACAGAGACGCTCCTGTCAGGCAGGACCTTCCAAGGGCCCAGAGATCCCCTCCCAGGAGCCGAGGGAAGGGCAGAGCTCTCTGGGCGAGGTTAAATCCTTTACAACACAGCCACCCTTTCCCATCCTTGGGCTGAACTCTTGGGAGCAGACTCTTCTTGGAGCTTTTTCTCCTGTGCCTGTTGGCTGTTCAGGGTCTGTGGCTTCTGCAGCGCCCTGTCTGGGATGTGTGGGAGACAGTGAGGAACCTGGCAAACTCACCCCCTTGTCGCTCCTCACGTCCGCACGTCCCTAGACTGTTCGCCTCTTCTTCCCTCCTGTCAGCGTCTTCCTGTGCTTGTTGGTTGTGTAATGTCCATAGTTCTTTAGTTACAAGGGACAGATCTGGGAGGAGTGGGGCTGCTCCATCTGGGTGGAACCAGACGTGTCACCAGGCAAGGCGTCATAGATGTGGGATGTGGCCTGCACTATGCTTTACCTTCTTGTTACCGTTTTTTGTTTCGCCGTCCTGCCTCTCCTTTTGTCCTCGGCGCCCCCCCACAGGGGTCTGCGTTCCACACAGTGACTGCTCTGTCAGGCCTCCCCTTCTTTGGTGCAGGGGTACAGGATCTCCAGTCTCCTCGTCAGTCACACTCGTCTCTTAGGCCTGTCTAAGCAGCGTGAGTCACGATACACGGAGAAGTCGAAGCTCCTGATCAGGCAGCTTAACAAAATCCAACTCGTGGAGGGTGGAGGTGGGAGGGGGAGAAGCAGGGCGGATGACGGCGGAGTGGGGAGAGGATCTGAGACACCAGCCAGCACCTGTCCCCTCAGGATCTAAGACGGCAGGAGGAAGCCTCAGCTGGACCTTCATCTTTAACGTAGTTTTTCATTGCCTTTCCAGGTGCCCGAGAGTGCAGTGTCCAGTCTCTACATGAAGCTCAAGTGAAAGGATACGGGTGCCAGGGCCCCACGTCCACGGACAGAATGACCAAGACCCGGCTCTTCCGCCTGTGGCTGGTCCTGGGCTCTGTCTTCATGATCCTCCTGATCATCGTGTACTGGGACAACGTGGGCACCGCCCACTTCTACCTGCACACTTCCTTTTCCAGGCCGCATCCCCTGGAGCCCCTCCCGACCCCCAGGCAGGGGGAAGAGAAGGAGTTCACATCAGACGTGGACGAGTTTTTGGAGAAGCTCTTCAGTGCCGGCATGAAGCAGAACGTCCTTTCCGGTAGAAAGACAGAGCAGCCCTCCCAGCTGGCCTCCAGCAGGCCTGTGCTGAGCAACATGGAGGAGAGGGTGAGGGGCTATGACTGGTCCACCCACGACGCCCAGCAGAGCCCAGACCTGGACAGGCGGCAGGCCGAGAGGAGGAGCGTGCTGCGGGAATTCTGCGCCAACGCGAGCTTCGTGTTCCCTACCAAGGAGCGCTCCTTCGATGACATCCCCAACTACGAGCTGAATCACCTCATTGTGGACGACCGCCATGGGGTCATCTACTGCTACGTGCCCAAGGTGGCCTGCACCAACTGGAAGCGCGTAATGATTGTCCTGAGCGAGAGCCTCTTGGACCAGGGCGCCCCCTATCGCGACCCCCTGGACATCCCCCGGGAGTACGTCCACAACTCCAGCACCCATCTCACTTTCAACAAGTTTTGGCGTCGCTACGGGAAGTTCTCCCGCCACCTCATGAAGATCAAGCTGAAAAAGTACACCAAGTTCCTCTTTGTGCGGGACCCCTTTGTCCGCCTCATCTCGGCCTTCCGCAGCAAGTTTGAGCTGGAGAACGAGGAGTTCTACCGGAAGTTCGCCATCCCCATGCTCAAGATGTACTCCAACCACACCAGCCTGCCCGCGTCGGTCAGCGAGGCCTTCAGCGCGGGCCTCAAGGTGTCCTTCGCCAACTTCATCCAGTACCTGCTGGACCCCCACACCGAGAAGCTGGCGCCCTTCAACGAGCACTGGAGGCAGGTGCACCGCCTCTGCCACCCCTGCCAGATCGACTACGACTTTGTGGGCAAGCTGGAGACCCTGGACCAGGACGCGGCCCAGCTCCTCCGGCTCCTCAAGGTGGACAAGCTTCTCCACTTCCCCCCGAGTTACCGGAACAGGACTGCCAGCAGCTGGGAGGAGGACTGGTTTGCCAAAATCCCCCTGGCCTGGAGGCAGCAGCTTTACAAACTCTATGAAGCAGATTTTGTTCTCTTTGGCTACCCCAAGCCTGAAAACCTGCTTAGAGACTGAAGGCATTAGGGGAAAATCCCCAACACCAAAAAAAAACCCTGCTCGTGTTGTTACTTTAAAACCGAACGAAGGGTCTGCCATACCACGACCATCTTCTGAGGATGGCGATGGGTCGCCACATGTATTTTTTTATGGCTTCTTTTCCCTCCCCATTTGACACATTGCAGAATTCCACAGTGCTCCTGTTGACGAGGCAGCTGGGAACTCCCCACAACCACACCCACACTCCAGTTTTTAAACTAACGTACAATTTTGCAATCTAGACTGTTTACTCCACTGCCTATCATTCATTGAGTACTGTGTTAATATTGTTTTTTAAGATTAATATATTTCAGATATTTAATATGAAAAGTGGAGAAGGAAATGATGGAGTAAAATGTTACATCTGCTCGTTCTGCCTGCTCTCATGGTTATTCTGGTGGAGTGACAAACGCACAGAATAAGGGGCTCTGAGCGACCTAATGCTGATGTTCTGACCTCAGAAGCTTGGTTAAAGGAAGGGACCTGTCGTGGTCATCTTCAGCAAAAAGGAGGAATGTAAATTTGAAATCAGGCCTTAACTGTATTTGTAAAAGCAGAGCAGACAAATCCTTCAACAGGGAAAGCTCTCTTAGGTGCTGTGTCAGAAGAGGGAAAGTGGTTCTATATGGGTTTTATATTTGAGATCAAGTCAGAGGTACCTGACTTCCAGGTCACAGTCACAGAGGGAGGAGTTGAACCCAGCTGCTCCCTTTAACGTATAGGTCATGGACGTGAGGATTTGCACGTTTGGCGTGGGTAGGAGTTTGTCCCTAGAATACGTTTCCTGATGTCGACAAGGCGAGGCTCGGGTGTGATTTTCATCACAGACCTGCCTGGTTGGGTTCAGCTCCAGTGTCATCCACTCTGGAGGATGTGACAGACACGGGATCGTCATGTTTGATGGTCCTGACTTGGTAAAGTTGTCTGTGCTAGTCCAGGAAGGCTCTCTCTAAACGTCTGGTTCAAATTCCTTTGCGGTCTTTGCTGTGAACCTGTAATTGGTGAGGAATCCGCAGTCAGGTCGTGGTTTGGGCATCACCCTTGATCTAGTCTTCTTCATCTGGAGCACTTGGTCCTCAATGCCCAGTTCCTGAAGGGCTGGCAGTACACGAGGAGGGCTCCCCCAGGTCTCCTTGCTTTTCTCGGCTGCCAGATGGCACTGAGGCCTGTTTGAGCTGGTGGCCTCTGGGTGCTCACCTTACAGACTCGGGGCTCCACGGTGCTGGAAACCACCACTCTCCTTATTGAAGCTTCCTTTCTTTTTATGAAACAGTCAGCAGCAAAGATACTGAAGCTTGAGTTGTCCAGTTTTAGGATAATTGTCTGAAGAGCCATCGTCACTTTGGGTATCTGTTGGGACACCTGTTCATTCAGTAGTTGTCTGTGGTCCCTCGTGTTCTGGGCTTCAGGTCACCAAGCAGACAAGATGGCTCTGTCTTCGGGGGACTTTGTGGTCCTACGGTGTGGGACGAGAGCAGGGCCCCCCGATCCCAGTCCAGTGGGCTGAGTGTCTTCAAGAACAAAGCCTCAGAGAGTCAGAGATGAAGGTGGGCTTCCTGAGGAGGTGGTGTTTGAACTCGACCTGAAGTGGGGGGTCAGGTCTTGATGTTCAGGGTAGAGTGTGTGACATCAGCAAAGGCGCAGGGTGTGTTTGGAGACAGTAGGTACCAACCGCTGGCTTTCATTGCTCAGTGCATCCGTTGTGTCATTTCACTCTGCTCTGATGTCGATGTGTTATCAGTGTCCTGTCCTCTAGCGAGGACACCGATGTGTTGTCAGTGTCCTGTC